ACAACTCGTAATACGAAGGCATCACCTTCACAACTTGTTTGATCTCCACCGCCGTTTCCACCATGATGAGATTGATTCGAACTTCGAATTAAGATTTAAGATTTAGTAGGCTCTGATACCATGTAAGCTTAGAAAGAACTTGGGGAAAATCTTGTCACTTATTCATCAAAGGCGACAGCCTTATATACAACATGTACATCTTTAGGTTACTTGATACACAAGCTAAGCTGAATATACACTTTCCTAATACATATTCTAATACTTATGACACAAGATATGTTCTAGAACCATCTAGAACCTTAACAGTTTTCATGTACCTTTAGTGTACTTTGTGGAGGAGGAAGGAGAATTTGGAAGGATCTTGCACATGAAATTCTCAGCTGCTTGCTTGTAGGTCTCAAAGTTGTTGTCTTTGTTCAGTATTGCTTGCTGCAAAAGTAATATATGTTTGTTGAACGGATCGATTAGGAGAAATGTGTCTATGAGTTTTAAGCATTGAGACATACTCGTGAGAGAAGAACATATGCACCAGCATACTTATTGTCCCAACTGAAGATGTCAGGCTGATCTCCTTCACCTCCCAATGATTTGATCAAGTTTGTGTAATACGGATTCTTGGTTGCTCTATGCAGCCACGCTGCTCCCCACACTAGCTCGTCCTGTAACCATAAGATTACTACAGTTCATTGAAATACATCTCTCTCTCGCTCTCGGATTCGGACCAAAGAAGTAAACATGTATTACCTTGTAGCCAGAGTAGGAGCAGTAGAAAGGACAGACTGTAGAGGAAAGGGAATTACTGTAAGCGCCTCGGTATTGAAGTGCAAGCGAGAGTACTTTGGATCAACTTTCCTGAAAACCATGGAGCTTGAAGCTAGAGCAGCAGCGGTTTCACCGGCTACATCTGAGCCAGGGTTTGAGGCGGATACAGAGTAGACCGTACGAGGAGTGTCCATATCCTCTGGACGTTCCCAGCATTTGCGATCACCATTAGGGTCTCCTACTCCAACGTAGAGCTTCCCGGGTGTGGCCCTAACACATTTCAGTAGATAGTCCGTTGCCCAACGGATTGCGACACGGGAGTTCTGGAGTTCGGGTCCCATCTTCTTACCATACTCCAAAGAGCTCCAAGAAAGCATCGTGGTGGTGAACGCCATCGGGAATTGAACTTGACATTGTCTCCAGCATCATAGTAGCCTCCGGTCAAATCAACCTGCGTAACTCGTAAGTTATCAAGATGAATGTTTTACGGTTTTATTGATACTTATGACTATTGGTTTACAAGTTTTAGAGTCTTACATGAGCAGAGGAGCCATCAGAGAGGCCAGAGCTGAACCTCCATCAGAGTTTTTGGTCGCCCGAGAGGCGACCAGACCGCTGACCTTGGAAAAAGAGCAATGATTTGGAGAGTGCTTCTCTGTAATTGGGATTGGCATTGGTATTTTCAAGTGAAACCATGGTGGAGAGAAGGAAAAAGAAGAAGAAAGGGGAAGCCATTCTTGGTATTGGATTGGCTGAAGCAAAGCTCTTGAGATTATAGGTATATTTGAGGTACGGTTCTATTTTGCATATATGAATATGCACACGTATATATAGATTGAGAGCGATGAATATGGCTTTTTTGGAATTGAGTTTAACTGCTAAAAAACTGTTCTAAGCTCCTTCAGTTCGAATCCACTTTTTCTAAATATTTTATTAGAACTGACAAATGGAATTAGCTACATCTACTATATTGTAGGATTTATAATATGGTCATCTTCTTTACTAATATTTTGATTATCACATAGTCCTGTTACCTGTAGTACTGTCTATATATGAATTCACACATTGGTAATTTTGTTTGATAGTTTTGATGTTGAATACTCATCTTTTACCATAGTAAACTACATTAATGGATATTTTAGATTATTTGTTGTTGCATTACGTAATATGTATGGGTAGATAAAGATAAACAATTAATGTCTTGAATCTTGATT